GGAGATGTATCGTCGAACTAATTAATTTAAACCGCAATCCATCATAAAACCCGGTTCGGTTCGGTTCGAAGAAATACTCGCAGTCGGCAGTTCTCTGTTGAACCGCAAGGATTGAGTTGAGCCACTTTATTTGTGCATCATAGTGGGAAGACGGAAAGAAAGAAAGAAAGAAAGAAAGAAAGAAAGAAAGAAGAGGAGGTATCCTATTAATCGTAGAAGTTGCACTCGATGTGGAAGGGCATTTCCGAGCAGGAAGCTAGATTGTCGCAGATATAATGCTCATTATTCGCTTGCATCTTATTAGTAATAAAAGTTTCATTTGAGATTAAAATGAGTGAAAATCTAAATTTATATAATTAAAGTTAATATTTATATGTTAGACATATAAAATATTAAGATTTGAATCAATTCAAGTAAAAAAAGATTTTTAAAATTTTAATATTGGATATTTAAGTTAATACTTTAATTAGTTTGCAAGTATTTAATTAGAAACCAAAATTTTAACAATTAAATTGATAAAAGGGTTAAAGATTAAGTTGAGTTTTAAATTTTACAAACCGGATCTAGACCAATAAAAGGCTTTTTTGTTCTTTTTTTCTTTTTCTTTTTTTTTCTTTTACGTTGAAAGACAATTTCTTGCCAATATTTTATGATTTATCATTAATCCAAATCGGTATTTTCCTATAAATCCTAAATTCTTGTTAGTGAAAATGAGAAGCTAATAAGGTTCAAAGGCAATTTATTCGTTCCCATTTAAAGACACTAATGCAGGAGATAGATTCGCATGACTACATTTTATTTGATACCATCTTAAACAGAGGTCTTCTAACATGCCATGTTCAGTGGAACTGGTGGGTCTGAGAACGATCCATTTCTAATTTGACCAAAAATAAACTTGTTAGCTGCTTCAGTGTAGTGAATTCCATCCCATACCACTCGAACTGATGGGTTCTTGCATGATCCGATAAACACCTCTGTGCCATTAACCATGATTGTGCTTCCGCAAATGTCATTGTTGTTGTAGTTGTACTCCCCTCCATACCCACAGCAGGATACAAGTGGCAGCTCAAATCCTACAAGCATTCCAAATGCAATCACAAATCATTTCAAACAATGTTTAAGCAGCATATGTGGGAGGCTAGGCTCTTACCGTGTTTCTGTGGTTCAGCAAAGAGGGAATACTTGACAGAGTAGATATCCACGTATGTGAATGTAGCAAGAGGGAATTCCTTCCTAAGTTCAACTACGGCCTCCTTCAACTTAACATTGAAGTACTGAGCTACTTCATTGTAAGGCATCGCGCAGCCAGCACCATCCTTTCTTGCAGAGGGAAAGTTGGACAAAATGTAGGGCAGGCAACCAATGGGTCCTGTGTTATGAATCCAAAATGATCTTGCTCCCAGACTGTATATTTCCTGCAAGAAAACGAGTTGTAAGTTCCTTCACCATAACTAGTTTTGCATTAGTGTAAGAATTACCTTAACATTTGTTGAGAATTTGTTGACTATGCCAGGAACAGATGCATTCACTTCCTCTACGGTCATGTTAGAAAAGAACCCTTCAGCTAGATCGTTCTGGCCGATATCAAATGTATACAAAGCTTCTTGAAAATATTCCTTGTTGGGCATTAAACTTCCAATTATCCCACCTATATGAAGGATCATAGGATTAATCAAGTCAAGGCCACTGTTAATGCTAATAATAACTTAGGCCACACGAATAAGGGAACACAATTTTCTTACCTTGCTCCCTAAGCAGTTCTGATCTGGATTTAAACTGCGTAAATTGCAAGTACTGCAGCTCCAAGTAGAATGGACTAAAACCACCTTTAGGTATAATGCTATTCGGTAATATAATGGTGGATCCAGCCGTGGCAAAATTTGCACCATGATTGAAGTTGGTTCCCAGAGAATCAAGATATGAGTCCAGAAATGGAAGACCAAGACCCTTAGCTATTTGTTCATATAAGGTCAGAAAATTAGTTTTTAGATAGAAGAAAAAGCATTTATTAAATTTAGAGTCTTATGTCTCCCTTTTTCTCCTTGGTCTTTCTTTTAATACAAAAGAGGTTAAATCATGAAGAAACAAAGGAAAGGACAAAGGACAGCTGAGTAGGATAAAGATAATGTTTCAGGACTATAACTAGTATGATGTTTACATTTGTGGTATTCAGTCTAGGGGAGAAGATGATGCACACATGTTATAAAACTAAAACAGCAAAAAACAGTTAAGCTTCTGAGAATTTAACTTATGGACAGGATTAGTAGTAATATTCCATACCAATGAAATCAATCAGGAGGCGTCCATCAGAGAATCTCTTGGCCGGCATATGAAAAAATGTCTCTCCATACGGGGGAGTAGGAGGATAAAACACAGCAGAAAACCCACCTGTGTCTGAATTTGAGTCACCAAAGTTGAAGATTGCTGGAAAATCACAGTTTCTCTTCAGTGGAGAGACGGTGGTGGCATGGGATAAAAAGATCGCAAGAAGGAAGACATAGTTGACCTGTATGGAGAGTACTTCTGTGAACTTCATGATCATGAAGGCTAAAGAAAGAGGTAGCAAGTGCAATTGGAGATGACAATTTATATGGTCAATGATTTAAGTAAACTTTTCCAGGTACACCAGCCTTTTGCTAAGTGCTGACATAATACAGTGACAAGTGAAAATAATGGGGCTATTGACTGACTTTTCACCAGAAAAATGGAGTCTCAAATTGAAATTTGAATTCTGCAGCAAATTGTTTTATTGAAGAAAGCAATGGTTTTAGTAATTCAGAAATTTACAACATAATTTTAGAGTAACAGCTGCAGTAGAGAAAAAACATACCATACTGCTATATATTCATGTTTTCATGGGAACTTGTTATTGGAAGTAAGAGAAGGGTATGCCAGCTCTTACCATTTTGTAGTAACATCTGCTTTGCTTTTGCAAAGTGCTTGATGTTATGCTTTTGGAGCACAACGTGATCTTACTTGTTAGCTCAGCATTGGGTTGTCGCCCACAGCATTATATAAAGGTTGCCGTTCCAAAAAAAACAAAAAAAAAAAAAAAAAAAAGGAATCCCATTTTAGAACAG